GGGCTGCAGCTCTCACAGCAGCTGAGCCAGATGGGCCAGGGAGTGGCGAGGGGACGCTGGGGCCCAGACACAAGACGCAGGGGAGGTGTACACGGCTGTGGCGACCCGCTTTTCCCATATTGGCACTGCACATGATTGCTCAGAGCGGAGAGACACAAGCAAAAATGTGCTAGTGCCAAAATCGGCCAAGCAGACTGGAAGTGTTGTGGGCCCTGGGTGGGGGGGACATGCTGGAGGGGGCATCCATGCACACACCCACCCCCCACCGAAAACAGTCCATTTCCGACGTCCAGGCCCACGGGGGCCAGAGGGGGTGAAGAGTGCTCCCGAGACACTCGCGGATCTGTCTCTGCTCTGTTTATGGCCCTTCGGTAATTCACTGACCGAGACTGTTCACAGTGAATTCTACCAGTGCCATACACAGAACAGGAGTGGCGCTCTCGAGGCTGCCGACCCTGCAGAGAGACCCCCGCGCCCCGCAACCCTGGGCTGAAGCGCCAGCCTCCCACCAACTGCTCAGCAGCCCTCCTCACCCCACACCCTCACAAACTTGACATGCCTAGTCTTAGCCCCAAATGACCTTCCAAGGAGGCAGTGACAGTGGAGAAGGGCTGAGCACTCAAGGCTTGGGAGAGGGTGGGGCGATATGTCCAAATCGTCGGGGCGTTTCCTGTCTCAACCTGAACGCCCACCCAAAGTCCCTCCACCCTCACTCAGCCCACCCTTGCTCAGGCTGGGGCAGGAGTAAATCCAGTCCAGAAGAGCAGACAGCTGGCCAGATCCTCCTCTCTGGCCGTCGCACTGGGTCCCAAAGGGGCAGTGGCCAATGGGACATCCAAAGTGCCTCCCCTGACCTCTGAGCACAGAACCCTCCCATTCCAAGACGTCTGGGTCTCCACCACCCTCCAGCCCCCAGCCTTTGCTGTGGCAGAAATAGAGCCCTCGGGGCAAACCAAAACTGCCGCTACCCGGACTCCCATTCCAAACCAGACCAGATCCTGAACTGCCCTGGTTGGGCATCTCTGCTGCCGGCCTGTGGCCAGAACAGCCGGGCAGGTGGGCAGGAAGTCCCTTGGCCAAAGAGGCAGCATGGAGGGAGCTGGAGGCACAGCTGCCCTCCAGCAACGGGAGCAGCTTCTGGCTGGCTCGGAGGGGACTGCAGAGGAAGGCGGAGGCGAGGGAGGGGCCGGGAAGGTTGCATCAGTGGTTGCCAGAGTGGCTGCCTCGAGAGAAGTCACCGTGGCAGCTCCTGCCTCTGGTGCCGGGCGCCCTGGGGAAGGAGAGGGGGGAAGGGGAGAAAGGGTCGGTCTCAGAGGAGCTGGCGTCCAGGCAGGAGGTCTGGGGACTCTGCAGAGTGGCAGTCTCAGCCTGCTCCAGGCCCAAGTAGGGAGGGACCAAGGGGCAGAGCGGCTAGAAAAGCAGCCTGGAAGGGCTAGAGAGCAAGTCCCCTGGCCCAGAAACTATCAAAACCCCTTGGCGATGCTTCTCCCAGCGACCTCAAGGCTGCCAGGACCCACGCTGCTTCCCATGAGCAGCTATGTTAAATCCTCACCCACTCTGGCCCCCGACACTTGCGTCCAAGGGAGCCCAAATCACTGTTCAATGCTCCCCCCCTTTCCCCAGCCCCCCAGGGACTCCTCACCCTGCTTCAACACAGGCCCACTGCTGGTCTTCCAGAGGCCGACCCAGCTTGCTAGGATGGAGGTCTTCGGAAGTCACTCCCGGGCACTCCGTCCCAGTTCTTCCCCCCACTAAATCAGTGCACTCAGCTAGGGAAGAGTAGGGACAGGCTACGTCCTACCCCGGGGAAGGGGGAGGGGTGGGGGTGGGAATGTTAGTACAGACTGTGGGTCACGTGAAGGTAGTTATCAAAGGAGCTCAGGGTGTGACCAGCAGACTCACCCAAGGAGCCCCAGAAATGCAGATTAGTAGGCCCCTCAGAAATCTGCATTTTAAAAGGTACCCAGGCAATTCTGCCACAGGGGATGCCAACCTTCGCGAAGGTCTGGGAACTCTTTCCTGAGGCCGCCACTCTAAACTATCAGAAGCCTAACTAACCCCGGGGTACTTAAAACCAACAACCCCAAATTCTTTTTTTTCTTTCTTTGCGGAGCTAGGGGTAGGGAGAGGCGGGTGTTGGAGGAGACTGGCCTGGCACCAGGCAGCCAAAGAGCAGGCAGAGGAGAGCAGTTATGACTCCTGCTCGCCCTGGTCCAGGAAACGGAAGGTAAAGGGCGCTGAGCCGGCCTCGAGGGCTGCACGGGCTCTTTCTAATTGTGGCACCCGCGGACATACTTGGTCTGTTTTCCTCCTCACCTTTGCAGCTGCCTTGGGTCTCTGTAAGCAGAGAATAGCTTAAAGGCCAAATCCCCTTCCAGCTTTCAGTTGGAGTGGCAAAGCTGGGCCAGGCTCCTCCCCTGCGCCTGCCTCGCCCCTGCTAAGCCCAATGCGGCAGTGCCGCAGTGCTGGGGCGGCGCCATACCGGCCGCCCCAGCCTCCGGGGTCAACCCCTAGAGCCCTGCGGTACCTCTCTGCTCTCCGTTGGGGCAGGCTCAGGCCTGGGTCCTAAGGGAGCACGGTCTCCCCACTCTCCTGAAACGAGGGCCAAGGGGAGCTGGGAGGGTATAAGCAGCGAAAGCCTCATTTGAAGGGTCAAAAGGGAAAACTGAGGCCTGTAGTTGAAGGAGAATTCTCAGAGCAACTTCGTCTGCTCTGGTGGGAGAAAGGGGGGGTAACATGACACAGCCCTGACCTTGAGATCCAAAGGCACAGAAATCCACTTCTGGGAGTGGGAAGATGAAGAGAAGGTGTGGGAGCCAGCTGGTCCCGGCTCCCACCCTGGCCAGAGGGAGATGGAGAGATACTGACAAAGAAGAGCTTGGGAGCTGGTGTATCCTAATGGGGACCCAACCTGCGGGCCAGGTGGGAAGGCCGCTGACACTAAAGCCACCAAAGTGTCCACAGAATACTTGAGGGTCACACTGTATGTGTACCCTACTCTACAAGGTCTCTGCTGACCTCACCCCACATCTGCTCCACCCTCCAGAACTCAGCTAGGACCATCTTCAGACATCTCCGTTGGGTCCTGCCTCCTCTAGGTTTCTCTCCCTCGGGGCACAGAGCAGGGCCCAGGCTCCCTTTCAAATTCTAACAGCTCCCAGGAGGAGAGGGTCGCTGGGACACAATGCCATGAGTACTCCAAGATCGTGGGCCATCAGAAGTCCCCCTGTAGCTCTGCCCTCGCCGTGTACGCAACGATTCCGGAGTGCCGTATCTGAGCTGCACCACCCACCGCGGGCCTGGGCCTCCTCCCTCTGGTCTCCAACGAATGCCCCCAGGCCCAAGAGGCTGGAGGCTAGGGGCAGCTGGGGCCCTCGGACACACCCAGGGCCCAGCGCCGGCCCTTCTGTCTCCCCAGAAGCCCCAGGGGAGAGACCCAAAGCTGTCTTCGTCGCAGCCCTGGTCGCCAGAGCTCCCACCATTGATGCGGGCGGCTGGAGCTGTGCGAGCTCAAGCCAGGAGCCACTGCACGGATTTAACCCGCCTGGTAGGGGTTAAGAAATAAACGAAATTCTCACATTCATTACCTCGGGATTCTTTCTCCTTTACATAAAGCCAACTCCAGAGGTCCCCCGACTCCCCAAGGAGCGGGCCAAGGCCTCAAGTACACGAAGGGGCAGCCATGATTGGTAAAGAAACCGGCAGCTAGGATGCAGCTCAGAGGCCGAGATCCGAACCCACAGCCTCCTGGCGCGCCGGCCAGTCTCAGCTGAGATGTGGGGCCACGTTCCTTTGGGTGCACTCGGTCCGCGATCAGGACAGATTTCTGGGAAGGCTCAATCTCGGCTCGGAGACCTGACGACTCGGCGCCCACGGGGCTCACTGCGGGAGATGGTGCGCACCGGGTGGAGCCCGGTGACCCCGCCAGAGGGCCAGGGGCACAGCGCAGACATCCGCCACCTGGCCCCCAGGAGGAAAATCGGGCTTTTAATCCTCTAGAGCTTTACGAAGCCCGACAGAATGCTCCCGACAGGGAGGCTCCGTCCTCACCTAACGAATGGGGGTGGGGAGGTTGATTAGGGCACCGCCGGCTCCCGGATCCTAATCGCTCTGAGCCTGTATTAGCGCCCCCAGCCCCCCAGCGAGTACGTCTATACACAGGGTAGGGATGCCAGGGCTGGGGGAAGGGACAGCGAATGGCTGAGCTTAGAGGGCTCGGCAGAATTGGGCGACCCTTGACTCGGAGGCGGCTCCCTCACATCCAGCTCCTAGGATGCGCGCACCGGTGAAGTACCCGGCACGCCGTCCAGCTGCCGACCCCGAGGCAGAGCTCTGGGGCCTCGGGTGCTCGGTGGCGCTAACAAGGATATGGGGGCAGGCGCAGGGCGACAGGGTGTCTCGGCCGCGTGCTCCAAGGCTCCCAGGACCGGTGGCCCCGAAGCAGAGGCAAGCTGGAGGTCGGAGACTACCTTCCCCTAGAGACTGGGCGGGGCCGTCCCGGGGCCACAGAAATGGTAACGACCCGTCGAGAAGCCCGGAGTGGGGGCTGGAGAAACTAGCTCTTGGAGCAGGAGGAACCCTCCCTCAGCCCAGGTCGGCGCCTGCCTCCCAGCCCTGCGCTTCCTCCTGAGCCCACCAGGGCGGCGAAACGCCGGCGCGACCCCCGATCGGTTCCCCAAGGAGGTGCCTGGGCCGGCGCCGATACGCACCTCGCCAAACACAATCCGCACCCAAACCGCGCGGCCGCCGCGGGTCCGGGTGGCAGCAGGGATGGGGGGTGGGGCACAGGCCAACTCCACCGGGGGACCCAGGACCACGGAGCCGCGTGCGCACCTCTGCCGGAAGGCGCGGGAGAGCAGGGAGGCCGCACTGCCGCGTCATCCCCGAGGGCCGGCCGCCCGCCCAAACCGGGTTCTAGCACTGCTCGCCCCGGGGCGCCCGCCTCCACCTTCTCTCCCTCGCGGGCGCTGGCCCTTCCCGGCCCCGCCCCGGACACTCACCTGCGCCGGCTCCGGGCTGGGCGCACCTCCGCCTCCCAGCTCCAGCTCCGTGCGGAGTCCACATGGGAAAAACAAGACAAAAAAGGGCTCTGGTTCGGAGCGGCCCAGATGGACGGAACCTGAGGCGCGGCCCGGCCAAGGGCGGCGCCCCGAACCTCCACAGCGCTACGCGGGAGGAGGCGGCGCCCGAGCGCGGAGTCCGGCGGGGGAACAAAGAGGAGCCGGGATGGGGCCGCGCGCTTCCTGGGTGTCGGGTGACAGGTCTGCTGGGGGAGGCCCCGGCCCTGCCACCTGAGGAGGAGCCGCCTCCGCGCGGCAGGCGGGGCGGGCCAGGAGAGGTACGGGGGCCCCGAAGGCCGAGGAAAAGGGTGAGCTGGGTGCCCCGGACTACGCGGCAAGAGAGAGGCCCGCTGGCTGCGGCGCAGAGGTGCAGGGACTCGACGGGAGTGCAAAGATAATGACTCAGGGAGGGTTTACCGCCCCCTGAGCCCCGCCCGCCCCCCGCTCTGCGCCATTGGTCCAGGTGCCTTGAGGCGGGGAGGGGCAGGGGGCGGGCCGGGGATGATTCACCTTGAATGTGGCTCGGGTTGGTGCACAGCGCAGGGCACGCCCGACCGGGACTGCGGAGACTCTGGGAGCCCCGCCTGCTTGCCCAACCTGGCCCCTCGGGGTCTCGCCGCCCATCTTCAATCCCTGCCTCCTGCCCTCAGGCTAGGGGGCCGCAGGCCAAGGCGCGCCCCGACGCCCTGCTACCCCACCGCCTTCTTAAGCCCGGAGCTAGCCGAGGTGTGTGTAGAGTAGCGTGCTCGGAAATATGACCCCGTGCTGGGGGAGGGGAAGTGCATTTGAAGCTGGGACGCACTGTGGGGCCACTGGACGGATCTCCGCAGTCTCCCCAGCCGAAAGGTGCGCAAGGCTGAGCTGTGTCAGTGGGCCCACCCGGACCCAGGGCTGCAGGGCTGGAGTGGAGACGAGGAGGCTCCCCGCTACCTTCTCACCAACCTAGAGGCTTGCCCAACTCTGCGGCCTCACAGGTGTCTGGCCACTGCGCCGCGGGAACAAAGGCTGCCTGTCCCAGAAGGGGGAGGGGGAGAGGAGACGCCCCCAGACCCGTTCCCCCTCCCTTTCTTACCCCCAGCCCCCCTCCTGCGGCAGTGGCTCCCCCGGGAGGGGGCGGGGCGGGCCTGGGTTGGCGCGCGGACGCTGATTAGATACTTCACTGCGGTCCTTTGCTCCGATACCATTCGGAGCATTCCGAGGGGCGGGGCAGGGGCCAGAAGACAACCAGGCTGTCAGCGTTGGGGTGGCCTCTTCCTACTCCCCCAGCATCCTGGGCACCCGAACGCCTCCGCCCGCTCCCGCTGCTTAGGGCGCCCTTCACAGTACCAGCCCCTCCTGGCCTCCCCCAGACGGCAAGCACAGTTCAAAACCAGATTAAAATAAAACGTTAATCCGTCCTCCCTTTTAGCTCCTATTTTCCCTATCGAACCTCGCAAGTTAGGTCTGGCGGCTAAGAAGCCCCTAAAAAGGAGAGTGCTTAGCCAATGTCCCCCACCAAATCTAAAGCTCTCTTGTATTAAAATTGAAGAACGTTAGCACGCTGTTCTGGGCTCCAGAGAAGGGAGAAAGTAGGCATGGTGATGGGGGGGTGGGTGGCAGGGTCCATGGTCCCCACTATCCCAGGCCCTGCCCAGCAGGGAGGGGCAGAGGGTTGAAGTGCTGATACGAACCGTTAAATAGATCCGACTCCTGGGCGGGGCCTGCTCAAGCCCTGCGTGTCTCAGCCAAGGGAGGAGGCCAGATCACCACCCCAGGCAGCTCGTCGCCCGGCTAGTCGCGGGGCCTCGGTGTCCCTCTTAAAGAGTAGCCCGAGATGAGGCGTGGTGAGCCAGGACCCGGACAGGGGAGACCTTGAGCAAAGCGCGGGGCCCAACGGGCCAAGAAAGGGGAGGGGGGTCGTTCCACATTAACCTTTCCCCGGCCGGCACGCATTCCCCTGCCTAGCCGAGTCGCCCTGAATGACCCTGGCTCTGTCCCCAACCGCTCCCTACCTGCTCCCCGAGAGCCGTGGGATGCTGGGGCGCGGTGTGTTAGGAACCGCAAAGCCAAAGCGCAGGCAGTGCCGGCTGCGAGTGGCCCCCGCGACCTGTCGCGCCCTCTTTATAGCGCGCGCCCCTCCCCCCCGTGCCCGGCGCGCCCCGCCCGCGCCCATTCACCTGCTGTTGAGAACCAGACACCGCTCAACGCAAAGCGAGCCACCCGGCAGCGCGATCCGGCCGTCGGGGCTGGCGAGCTGGGGGCGCCGCCGAGATGGATCCGGTTTCCACCTTTTCTTAAATGCGCTGCTGAAAACTGAGACGGCCCCGGCCTCAGGAGCCAGCGTTGCTTTCTCCCCCCGTGGCTCCCCGCGCACCCCAAGGCCCCCAACCCCATTCCGGGAGGGGGCGTGAAACTGCACCCTCAGGGGCCTCATACATATTTTAGGGAGCAGGACAGGCCGGTAACTGGAGCTAGACCCGGACGGTGAGGGGGTGGCCCCCGGGGACTCGATACCATGTATCCCTTTCGGGCCGGGGCGCAGGCAGGGGAGGAGGTGGCTCCGGACGACCTCGGGTCCTCACTTTGCTGCCCTGCCCTGCGTACCCTGTGCCCTCCCTCAGCAGGCCGAACACTTGTCTGCCCGGCGGGGCATCCTCCTCCTTCTAGAGACCTTTTCCGCCTCTCTCCACCAACATCCCACTCTGCCCAGGACGCGTAGGGTTGGATCCCTCGACCCTCGGGTCAGGCTTAGGAAGGACCACTAAACCGCGCCTCGTCCAATCTGGAAGTCAGCTTCCCACCCACCCACCCACTCCGGTCCCGGCCCTGGTCACAGTCCTTTCTTTCTCGCTCCAGGTGTTTCCGCGAGTCTCTGGCCAACATAGTTCTTTCCCGCCCCCTGCCCCACTCTGCTTCCCTAATTTTGTCCTCTCTTTGGCGGTCACCGTTGTGCTGAAGATGTTAAGCGAAGAGCTTATCAACCCTCAGTCTCCCCTCCCTTCTCCCTCTACGGGGCAGGATGCCTGGGCTGCAGTCGCCTCCTTCCCTCACCTAGACCCTCCTGGGGAGTGGCAGTTCTGCCTTCGGCCTCGCTCAGATTGGTCCAGACCCCGCGCTGACCCGGCCTCTAGGTCCACGGTATGCGTGAACGAGCATTCCCTAAGGAAACGGAGTCCCAGGTTCGGGTCCTCCGGCGCTCCAGTTACCAATTGCGTGATCTCCAGCGATTCACTTCACCTCTCAGAGCCTCAGTTTCCCCATTTGCGCAATGGGCATAATGACTCCCACCTCTCAGGAGGAAAAGGAAAATGCACCTGTGGGCACGGGCGCGTACTTCGTGACCCGTAGGTCTATGCAAACTACGGAACCCAAATGATCACCGCCACGGACCACGTACGCTGGCCTGCGCGAAGCCTTCCGAATGCGCGCCGCCTGCGGACGGATCCTAGATTCTTAGTGCTGCCCCCTCGAGTTGTCGCCACTACCGCCCCATGCCCCGCCAGAGCCTCGTGCTTGGGGGTCCGGTCCGCTGGGGGAAGCCGAAGCACTGTCTTTCTGTCTTGGCCCAGGCCCCAGCCCTCGGGCCTTTGTTCTAGACTCTAAACGTGCGTTGGTCGACGCTTGCAGGTGTCTTTGAAAAACAACGAATCCCCCGTTTTTCGAAAAACTGTGTGCGTCTGTGCGTTTTTTCTTCAGCGGCGCGCTGTCTCTCTACCATTTCAAAGGGCCCCGACACCCAGAGATTTAGCTCCCTGGTGCAGGGGGCCGCCAGTGCAGGGGTTGATAGGGAAAGAACGAGAAAACCAGAGGCACAGACAAGTGAAAGGCGATCCCGTCATAGAAATCTGCTCGGCTGTTAGAAACAGTGAGGAAGATATAGATGGTCCTTAATATGTCCTGGGAAATGTCCTGGACCTTAGATGAAAAGCGCAAATGACACGATGTCCGTTTGTGTAAAAATATAAATGGGGGGTGGGGCAGTGTCTAGGTGTCAGGCTTTCTCCCACAGGCCACCCAAGACACAGACAAGGGTGGCTTCCCTGTGGGAAAACTGGGGGTCAGGGGACAGGAGACTTTTCTTTTTGCTGTACGTCTTTCTGAACTGTTTGAAGTGTATGCATTTATTTACCAGATGCTCGTATTAAATTTTCAATTAAAAAAAGAAGCTGCATAAATTACTTTTTTAAAAATCTGATTTGGGATGCTGAAACCTGAAGGAGTCGAATCAGAGAGGGTGAGCCAGAGGCTAAGCCAGAGACCATGAGCTGTGGCGAAGGGCAGGGTGGTGGTTTGGGGTGGGGGACGCCAGAGGTCCTCGGCTCCTGGTGGATCAAGTCCTGTGCAGGGGCCATCCGGGAGGGAAGCAAGCTTCCGTGGCCCCTGTGTCTGTGCAACATTCTATCTCCTACCTTCCCCCAGCAGGTGACACTCCAGCTGAGTTTGGCCCTGGCCAAAGCTGAGACTCGAGCACTATCCAGAGCACCACCCCAGAGATGTCCTTGACCAGAGTCATCGGAGAAGGTGGCATTGAGGAAGAGGAGACCAGGCACTGGGTGGGTGCTCAGGGTGTGGGATTTGAGTCTAGTCTCCGTTTCTTCCTCCGGAGAAAAAAGGAAGAGCACCCGTGCACTTCCTTCTAGAGGATAAGGACAGGGAACAGGCGCATGGCCCCTGGAAAAGCAATGTCGGCCAGGGATCAACCTCGGTTGCCTCCAGGGCCAGAAACCTACCATCCTCACCCCCACTTAGGAGCCCGGCAAGGCAGCCCCCACCTTCCGGCATCCATTGTACCCAGGAGAGCTGGCCAGCCTATGATGTACCCAAGGACATGGAGCCCAGGTCCCAGCCCCAAGGCCCGGGGATGGCTTCAGGGCTCCAGGGCTCCAGGGCATGAAGCCGGGAGGTTCTAAGGAGAGCTTGTGTCTGTCGTTGGTGGGGAAGGCGGTTTGCCGCCTTCAGCAGGTTATCCAGGGGTCGGTGACCAGGTAAGATTTCGGCCACGGTCCATGTTTCTTTCACTTTCTGTGTTCAAATCTGAATTTAGCTGAATAATTCAGCCCCCAACCAGGCAAACGCTTTTATTTGTTTTGGGATGCTGAGAGTTAGGATTTAATTGTCTCAAATTAGAATAATCTGCCTTTTTAATCACCTAACATGTATTTGTTGGGCACCTGCCTGAACTTTCAGAGCCTCAATTTCTTCATTGGAAAATTGGGAGCTGACCCAAGTCAGAGAGGACTGTTTGGGGAATCGAGGAACAAAATGTTTTTGCAAGCGCTTTGGAAACTGCAGAACGTTTGTCCAGGGGACAGTTCACTGTAGTCCCGCAGTCACCACCAAATCCAAGTCATCCGCCTATCTTGAATTAGGATGCACAGCTCCTACGTGCGCATGGAACGGTCTTTTCGCCTGCGCGGAGGCGGCTGCAGAGCAGGTGATGCGTTCTGTTGGGGGGCGGAGGGGGGGGCTCGGTTCCCTTCCTCGCTCCTAGCTGGGGGCATCTCTGAGCGCGCACCCCGCTGTGCCTTGAGGACGCCCCATCGATGCCGTGCACCCCGCCGGCCGGCCCCGCGTTCGCCTCGGGTTCCTCTCAGTCTCGCGTCTTCGCGAGTGTCCTCTCTTGCTCGTCTGCCTTGGGGCACGTTCGGTTGGCCTCCCTTCGGTCTCACCCTCCCAGGGCTCCAGGGAATGTGTGATCCCACCCCTCATTTTTTTCACGGGAGGGATCAGAAGCCCAGCTAGGCCCTGAATTCGTGCCTGAGCCTGGACCAGAGCCCAGTTCTCTGGACCCCAGCTGGAGTCTTTTCCACCCAGTTGGGTAGGGAAGGTCCTTAGAGAGCTGGAACTGGCGATTAAAAAAAAAATGCTGAGGGACGCCTCCCTCCCCACCCCCCACCCGGAGCAGGGCCCTTAGGAGCTCCAGGACTCAGAGTTGACCCAGTCCCCTGAGCGAACGTCGCCTCTAGCCTAGTGGGGCTGGAGGGGCTCCAGGAACTTGAGATTTTCTAGGGTCACCTCTCAGGAGCAGGTGCGAAGCAAATCTAGAAGGAAGATTCCCTCAGTCCCAGGTTGCCAGCAGACAGACACCCCCACCCCCATCAGGAGAAGGTACCTGGGGAGGAGGGGATGGGGAGAGAACTAGCAAAGGTAGAAGAGAGGCGGGGCAAAGGGACGTGAAGAACCAGCAGTTTGGGTGGGGGTTGGGAGGACTGGG